CCCCCCCCCCCCCCCGCTTGCTTTTCAGACCGACTATATTTTGCTACTTTGCGGAACAGACCCAAAAGCACAGTAAACACGCACTATTTCTGTACGGATGAGGAATTTGTTTATGAAAAGTAAGTTCTTTCTTCCTTTCTCTTTCTACCCTTTTCCGATGCTTCTTCCAATAGTCCTGCTTACTTTCGTTTTCTCATTCGAAACGTTTGTTTTCGTTCCTGTCGTCTCCAAGTGATTAGAAGTAGGTTATGGGGGCGGGGGGGGGGCTTTTCAGTCTCTTTCCTGTAGAGATCGTTTCAAACCACCTTAAATCATGTAGAGGAGTGTATTGCCGTTGTGTTGTTTATAAAGTCCCAGAGCTATCTTTAAAACTAATTGTATCCTACTGTAGAATCTTAAATAGAAAATGGATGTTTCTCTTTTTCTTGCCCCAAGTTTGTTTTTGCAAAATGGACCCTACTTTTCAGGGATGCTGTGTTCCATATCTGTAACAGTTGGCCTATGTTATAAAATACTTACTCTTATCACGTTTATTTGCTCATGCTTCTTCTAAAACAGAAAACAATCATTAATCTACCCCAAAGTTTAGGAGAAGTGAGGTGAGGATGTTTGAGTAGTATGTGTTAGGAGCACTAGATAAAAAATTAACTACTTTATGTGGAACTCCCATCAGTAAAAGCACAGTATGTTTGGGCACTTCAATTTATGGCAACAAAACTTCTGCTTAATGAATGTTTAAAACATGATTTTTAGTAAAATAATTATTTGACAGACACAGGAATGTGATGACTTTTCTTAGCTTGTAGGCTGTGATAAGGACTGTTCAAACATTCCTGGTACAAAACTCAAGTATCCATTGAGATTATGAAGGGCTTTAAGGAAATCAGATTTCTTTTTTAAAACACCTATTTAGACTGCCATGCTCCATGGCCATTTTTCCAACTGGAAGCTCTCTTAATATGCAAAATACAAAGCAGATGGAATGAGGGAAGGTCTTTGAGGTAATGTTAATACTAATAATATAATAATAGCTTAAAAGTGATCAGGAGCACTGTGTTAAATCATAATACGGGAAAAATAATGTAATGATCAGAGGGCTCAAAGTCTTTGGGTCACCTGAAATGTTGTTCAGCAGTTGTGTTCAGTAGGATTTAAAATCCATTTGTTTACATGAAACTAAGTCCCATTGAATTAAATGAGATTTACTTCTAGATTGATGGGTTATTCATATAAAATAATACAGCACAACTAGGAACAAACATGATTGTGCTGTCAGGCTCCTCCCATGAATGCATGAAGTGCTATAGAAAGTTTTGTCCTTGAATAATTTAGTGTTTCACGTGAACCACAGACTTTGACTTGTACTTTTCAGAATTAGCAAGAGCCCTGGGTTTGCACAACAGTTTGTTAAATACCTTTGCTTATGAAAAATACTTCCTTTTGCCTAATCCATATTATGATTTAGCAGAGATGCAAACAAGGTCAGGTAAAACTCCCTGTGACTTTCAATGCAGTCCTAAAAAGTGAACACTCAGAGGTATTTCTTGATTTATTCAGTGGGTTTGAAAGGTAAGTGTATACAATTGCAGAATTATTTAATTTTGCAAACTTCTATTTAGGTGTTAACTTAGGTAATACTGAGTTTTATTTTTATTTTTTTTAATATATCCTCTCCTAACCAAGCCATGTGTTTAAAAAAATGTCTCTATTGTGCAGCACCTAGCACAACATCAAGTTCTATGCCAGGAAGTTTATTTCTACTTAGTTCTGATATGATTTCCCTTGGCAAGAATTTTTACAGTCTATCTTATAGTCTAAATATGGCTGGATGTGCCATCTACACACATGTAGTCCACGAGAATATATTCATGTGTTATGAGATAGTATATCAAAACTCACTTGCAAACAGGAAGAAGGGAAATGAAGCTATGCTTTGTAGCTTCAATAAAAACAAAACTCAGTTTATCTGAGAAATAGTACTTGGTGATTGAAAGTATATTTAAAGGTTTGGGTGGATAGCTCATACATGCTGATGAAAGCTCAGAGCTTCTATTATAAATTTGTTATCTGAAGCATGCCTAGTGTAAAAAAACAGGTATGTTAATTTTGATCTGTACTATTTCAGAATGTTTAAGTTTGGGTGCTACAGCTTTCTAAATTCAGATTTTTGTGTACATAAATCTAAATTCCATTGCTTTGTTATATTTAAGATTTCTTGTTGGACATATATAATGTCTTTGTGGGAAAGCTATCCAAATAATGAACAAGTGTGGCAAAATTAAACCATGGTTATGTTAAATATTTGTAGAAAAGAGAGAATGGAAACATTTTCATGTTTAATACTTACTGTTATAGTTACTAACTTAGATTTAAAAATGATATTTGAAGTTTTGTGAGTATTGATGGAAATGATGTCTAGAATATTATCATCTTTTCTTCCTCCTCCTCCTCCTCAAGCAATTACAGTGAACTGCATTTGGCCTTACTGAACTATACCACTGAGCTTTGATTTCAAATTGCTGAATTACAGTGGGATGGTTTTCTGCTCTTTATTGAAAGCAAGCCTAAAATAAGAATGCTGAGTATTTGCTAAGGTTAAAGCACTATTTTAATAGCCAGCTGAAAAAGTGATATCATTCCATCATTACTTCATCCTCCATGGTCCTTGGATCATGGTCCTATGCAGTCGTCACCAAAAAAAAAAAGTTCCCTGGCCATATCTTGAAGCAATTTGATGTTGGTATTTTTGTTAAGAATATCATTCTTATGACATATAAATAAGGCATCCCTTATTCCGACCCTTCAAGTGTTTTCACCCTCTTCTACCTTTTTCTTCCTTCTTTTCAACAACTTCACTTCTTTCTTCACTTCCTATTTCATGTGATTGCTTAACACCTCCTGGAGAAATAATTGTATTTGAAGCTTGAAGTTAATGCTTCTGTTGAAGCCAAGGATTATTTCAGTTCTTCCTTGCCTTTAAATCTTCCACCACTACTTCTTCTGTAGTACTTAATTCTTTCAACACTGTAATTAACTATTCTCTGCCTGGCATCTTACTTTTAACAGCAGTCACTGATCATTTTTTTCTACTATATTACCTGAAGCTTTTATTTGCGTCTCTACTTACAATTTTTCTCTTGTTGCATCTGCATGCTTTTTAGCAGCCAAAATAGCAAACAGCAGTAGCTGTTCTGCTTCCTCTTCCATCTTCTCCAGACCTGCTGCTTTCTTTTTTGTTGCTTCTTCTATAGCCAATTGTTCTTTTTTAGTTTTCTCCAGTGTCTTTCACAACTGTTTCTGCAACCTCTTCCATTGTTAGTTTTGCAGGTCCTTTAACTTGTTTAATTCATTGCTATGAGTAATTTAAAAAAAAAAAATCCTCATTGGGACACTCCTTCAATTTAATTTTTTTTGTAGTACTTAGTTTTATGGTTCTGATTTTCTAGCAAACTCAGCTCTCCTGAATTAATCACCCTTCATGCACTCCTTTTTTGCCATAGTTGATAACCCATTATCACCACATCCCTAAAGGTCTGTTGACTATTTTTTTTAAATCTGTGCACAGCTCCTTTAGATTGGGCTGAATAACTGTTTACTTTGGATCTGCCAAATCTAAATGGTGACTCCTCTCTGTTCACTACCAGTTCATAACTATCAACACACAGATACGTAACTAAAGCATAATTGTTCTAAGCTACTATATCTGGGCTGCAAATATCCAGTCACCCATTAGATAGCAATAAGAGATTTCTGTATCTCTTTACTACTACTTAGTGGTGATCTAATCTAAAAATGTGAAATCTCTGTTAATGCCATATCAATGGCTGCATGTCCTCAAAAATGTTAAAATGGTATTGATAGATTTGAGATTAAAGTTGCTTCATCAAAAAATTGCATTTAGAGTATATTGGACTCCCTAAAGAATGTATTCAAAAGGATAGATAGATTTTTCTCTGTTGGAGATATAAAAAACTTGAAGGATCATTGACCCATGTGATGTGGTTGCATGAATTTTTGGTACTTTTCTGGAATAGTATTTTAATGTGCATAAGTAGATTTATGGGGAAGTCCCTCAACATTAAAGATGTTAATGTGATGTTGAATTGTATATCAAAACTCTGGAATCTGACTGTCTTTGAGGAATTATGGTTATACCAGGCATGGCAGGTAGCCAAAAGAATTATATTGAGAAATTGGAAAAGTGATATTATTCTAGACATTAAGGATTGGCTTTTGGAAATGCATAACTTATCTGTTCTGGAAAAGGCAGTATTTTCTACTAATCAAAGGATGAAGCAATATGTTCTTCTTTGGCATAGATTTTAAGATATTTTATAATCTGATTGTATCATTAGGTAATTTTTTTCTTTATCTGATTATAATATAAGTTTAACATATTTTGTTATTATTGAGTATTTGGGTACTTTCTTTATATTTTGTAATCTTCTAAAACTAATGAATAAAATGGGGGGGGGATCTATTGGGGATCTGTATTTTTGCAACCCAGATACGGTAACTTCTTAATTCTATCATTATCTCTAGAATGCCCCCTTTGGCCCTAGCTAATTATTTAATAGTTATTCCAAATGAGTACCAGATTTACATAAGTCTATTCTGCTTTTGCTTGCAAACATATACATTACTTTTTCCTGAAGGACATTGGCCCCATTTGAAATATTTTGTTTAAGTTTGTTTGTTGAAATTAATCCTCGTTATCTCCCAGATCCCTTTGGTATTTCTGGATTTTCTGTGTAACAAACATCTATATACTTCTGTGATACTTAGAGTTTTCTCGGGCCCTTTTTAACTTCCTGTAATTCTTGCCCCTTCCTCCTTTTTTCTTCAGGCCTTTCAGCAAGGTAAACTCTGCTGTAATCTGGATCCTATGGTTGTCACCACATATGCTAAATCAGAGTGGCATAATCAGTTTATTTTGAGGGGAGATAAGTATTCTTTACAATCACTGCCACTACCCCCAAATGGATACATTTGTAGAGGCTGTTTTAGTCTTGTTGAAGTTGTTCTATCTCTTATTTGCTCTAACTGAACATAAAGTATTTTAGATATGAAGGGTGGTGTTACAGAGACTTCTGTGGGTTCATAGGATTTGATTCAAGGC